AAGATTTCAATTATAATAAGTATTTAAGTTTCAACTTGGACCATGTCGATCATCACTACCATACTTTTCTATATGTAAAACCAGGACAGGGCGCTGGTTTATGGGCGCGCTTTATGCCTGTTGTAACATTGAATGAACGACAAATGAGTTTCTTATAAAAGTATTTGTTGTATAAAATAAAAATTAACGTAAATTTTATTAATATTAAAATTAATGTATAATTAAATATAATATGTTATTTAGTTTACAAAATATTAATCTCAGTTTGTTTAAATAGCATTTTATGCTTCGCCAAAGATTCTAGGTGGTCTTAAATCATAAGTGGATCCACTAGGGATCGCCGGTATAACCTAACCTTGCATAGGTTTATCTGACTGGTTAGAAACTTCATATCTGGTAGACCTAAAGGTTCCGGACAAAAATGTCTACTTCAAATCTTTACTATATGCAGATTTGTAGTAGACATTTTTACGAATCTAAAGAATTTATAAAGCTTTATTGCCGATCCTCTTTACCCTTGAACCCGTAACTCTATGCCGTGCATTTTTAGGATTATTTGTAGACGAGAGTGTTTGTAGATAAATCTAAAAACATACCCAATGCGTTGTAGTTTCCAGCACACAAGCATCGTGCTATCAGAGGGAAAATTATAAATTAAAATACTAAAGTTTGTATTAATGAATAATTAGTTCTTCAATATTTAGTTTATATTAAATGATGATACCAGAAAGGATTCTAAAAGATCAAAAAAAAAACTCTAGATTATATGTTCGTTAATAGTTTATTAAAAAAATTTATAAAATGTAACGAGATTGAAAAAGTGTGTGAGTTTACAAAAGGAAATCAATTCGCAAAAACAAACTTAATGGATACGATAATATTATTATAATATTCTTATTCTATAAAATATTCAAACAAAAACAGATTCATATTTTGGTAAATTATTTCAGGAACATTTGGAATGTCCTCATAGGAAAAATATCTACAACATTCGAGTTGTGAGGTAAAGTACACCAAACAAAAATGGAATCTAAATGTTTTTGTTTAAATTAAATTTAAATTTTTTAAATTTCATTTGTTTTTTATATAAAAATATTTAAATTAAAGCATATAGTTACTAAAAGTTTGTTCATTAAACTCAAGTATGAGGTATTATTTTAGCACTTATGTTACCTCAGTGTGCAACAAATTAAATAAAAAGTGAATTTGTAGCGTCTCCACCGCCGTCAACTAATAAAAAATAAAAATTAAATATAATTATACGGAAAAAATATTTCTTACAACAAATATAAATTCTTTTCGAGTGCAGTAGATGGAGCACGGTTGATGTTTTCACCTACCAAGAATGCCAATTTATGAGCATATTGACACACTGCTGGTACGCGGCAGGTACCAGCCCAATTATAATACCATATATGTGCGTCATTTTATAAGTTAGCATTTGAATATGTTCTGGCTTAAATCCAGTTGTATCGTGTATAACGTTGTAGTTGGTAGGTGAAACCGTACCTTGGAATATAGACTGCGACACTAAATAAAAGTCAACGCTCTGGTAAAGTAATAATATCGTCCACAACGGTACCAGGTGGAGGATTGCGACCTTTGAGAAAGTATTGCGTGTTGATTTTTTTAGATATAACTATAAATGCGAAGCGTGGACGTGCACTTCCAACGCTACTATATATTTCGTCTAATCTATTGACTAGAGCTTTAACTTCATGGTTTACAACTTGGTGCAGCTGACCATCACCAACTCCAGCACGATAAAATACTATACGTTCAGGTAAGCATTGATGCTCCTCTTTAAATGCCCGTAAAGCGTTCGCTACACTTAGCGTTAAATAATTTGATAATTCTTGGCCTTTTACATGTTCTTGGACTAATGAATAATATCTTGATGACTTCTTTATGTCCATTGTTGAAACAAATGCGCCATATGAATTATGTTTATTTTTAGTTGAATGATATACATCAAAACCGCATGTCATAATACCATGATTAGGCATATCAATCATCCATGGAGTTCCACGCAATTTAGCGTTCATTTGTATGACAACCTTCGTTGCTATTGACATTAGACCAGCCGATTTTTCTGGACGAGGTGCAATAACCTTCATAGTCACAACTTGTGAAGCAACTACTCTATCAACGCAACATTTTTTCTTAATTACAGCATATCTGCAAATCAATAAATAATATCAATAATGTCGTAATTATTTAGAAATATTTAATATTTACTTTTCTTCGTTGGGACTGAAAAGAACCGCCATAACGATCTGCGGATCTTGAGATGCAGCAGCATATATAGCTGAAGCATAAGAATTATTTCTGTCATCCTGCATTTCCATACTTTAAAATAAAATACAAAAGAACATTAAAAAAAACATCAAAATAGCTGAATATGTAAATACTATATATATTGTAATTGCGATATAATTATGGTGGATAGGTGACTTTAAATGTAATCATACGAGTTAGAATTGAAAAAGATCTACGTCCCAGATTTTTGTGGGTTTTGTGGGCACAAAAACATATCGTTCAAATATATCTAAAGGTCTGTTTAAGCAAAAGATTTTGGAATTACTTATCGTGGAACTGTACTATTTGCAATCAAAACACGTTACGAGTATGGCAAGCTTAACCAAAATATATCCCCAATCCCTATAATCTTCCCCACCTTGACACATCAATCACCCACCCACATCATAAAAAACATCTATCGTCGTGTAATTTCTTCTTCTTTACAGATACGCACTGGTTAATACGACATCAACATGATTACATGGTCACAAACGCTTGGTCGTCGGGATAGAAAAATGGCTCCAGGACATACATTCCCGAAACTATGTTTCTTCAACGCGGCCCACACTAAATCTCAGTCCTTTTCATACAGTTTAAAGGTAGGTATCTTTATTCTGTCTTTTATTCTGCTGACTTTTGCAATAAAGATGCCTAAAGATGAAGATGGTGGCAAACCTAGATGGCATACGTTTAGATGCATAAAGAAATAAACTTGTTTTTGGTATTAATATAAAAGAAAAGTGTTAACCTAATCTAATAATTCAGCTAGCATATTATCCTTTCTAATCATATTTGTTACTAAAGGAAAATGAATTATATTTCATAATATAAATTGCAAATTAATTGCACATTTAACTCTTCAAAGAGCATTTAAGGCTTTGTCAAAGGGTCGAGGCAGTTTTTAAAGCTTTGCGTTCTTATACGGTAAACCATCAATTGGCCCAAGTGGATTATTAGGATTGCCAGTATAAACTAACCTAAAATATGTTGAACGAAAAAAATGATGAACCAAAAAAGTGGCTGACCAAAAAATATGTTTGACTAAAAAAAGATAGATTCAAAAAATGATTGACGAAAAAATGACTGATGAAAAATATGTGTGACCAAAATAAAATATATTGAAACGACTGCATCGCTTAGTGTTTTAAAATATATTTAAATAACTGAACTAGTTATTCAGATATACACATTCAATTAATTACTTACTACTTTGGTTCATCAATTTGCATCTTCATGCCGCTAGCTACACGTTGACATGTTTTAACGAAGTTCTGAGCTTCACGTACATTTCGTCCAGTAACGATTACGAACCAGCGTTTAATATCCGTTTGTGCATACATCTGATTGGATCGGAATTCACGAGACCAATCAGCTTTGTCATCGCACTGATACTCTGAATTTCTGCCAAACAATATTTTTTCTGAATTCAAAACGCGAGCAGGAACTTCAAGTAATTTTTTATCTAGGGTTACATCCCATTACATTCATACTATCAGCTGAACGCTGCAAGCGTTCATTGAAAACTCTTAAACGCTCAATACGACGATCTGGCACTAAACGAGCATGCTCATGTATTGCTTTCATTAATCTGTAGAAAAGCAAATTTATATCTAATTAAATAAATAGATTTATATTTATACTAAAAATTACCTCCAGTCGCCACGCATAGTATAATTTAGGCCAGTAGGACGTGTCAATTCTGGAAATAATATTATTAAATCATCTTGACCACCTCTAATATTTTTTTCGGTAGGCTTCGACATCAACAGTGGTTGATTAAAATCGCGAATTGGGAGATTATAACGCTATAATAAAGAAATCAATAGTTAGATGTATGTTATTGTCAAGCTTTATAAATAAAGTTATAATCTAATCTAATATATAAAAATCTCAGGTCACGGTGTTTTCATGAAACTTGTTGTGTATATTTAGTAGATATGAGAATAGATCGTAAAGTATATTTCATTCCGCTAAAGTGATTAGGGTGTCTCGATAGAGAAAATTTTTTTTTATTTTTTGACATGTCTTTATAATTTTGACACATGCTTGATCTACTCTGACCGCGATGCCATAAATGTAAGCAACACCTTACAGGGAAATATAGACCTCATGGTGAAATAGTTCCAGAAATGGAAGATTAAAATTAACAATAACAAAACCAAGGCCATATTCATAATACGAAAGAGAAGGCAGCATCCTCCAAGAGTGAGCGTCGGTTACGCGGATTTACGGTGGGAGGTAAGCATAAAATATCTGGGGGTCACATTTGACAAACGGCTCAATTGGTATAAACAAATGAAATGCGAACGGAATAGCTGCTCAAAAAATCCTACATTTTCTAAAGCCGCTGTAAACTTGTACTGTATTTCCTGCACGATCCTTTGTTAGTATCTTATGGACATCATTTACCATTATACTTTTAAGATTTTGTGTAGAAAATAGCAAAGTACCATCAAAAACGTAACCTCCAAACAAATCTTCATACTGTCCTATCATTCCACGACGTACATGTAACAAATCGACTTCTGGTGCAAGATCAACACGGTACTGATGTATAACCGATTTCGGTGTTCTTAATAGACGAAAATAGTTCGTCTGAACCATAACTGGACGACCAACTGCACCTTGCTTATTTACGCACGACACTGGTCGAATATGTTGTATAACGTCAGTTAAAATACGTTTTCCCCACATGCCATGTATTTGGTCAATTGCAGCTAAAGATATGGATATAACAACATAAAGAAACAATATAAAATATCATAGAAAGAACAATCATAATTATTGTCATAATCTGCATACCAATAGTTGCTGCCTCAGTGTTATCATGACTTTGGTGAACGTTTGAACTGGGAGAACCACTGGGAGAACTAAAGGAAAATATTTACGTCAACATAAGCCTGGTTAAATAATATATTTTATGGCATACTCATGAAAACACTGGAAATGGACACATCAGACTGATGAGAACGTCCACAACTTGCTGTTGACGGCAAACTACCAAAACTCTAATATCAAATGAATAAAAATTAATTAAATCAAGTCTCTTTAAATCTTAAATTTGATCTTATTTACAGATGATTCAGAGGCAGGATAACTGCCAAGTCCATCACCGCGACCACGATACATGCCAGGTCTACGCTCTGCACCACCCCGTTGTTCACCACGTTGGCCACCACCGCCGCCGCGAGGTTGCCAGCCACGGATGCCACCACCATCACCATCACCGCGGTTGCCACGATAGCCGCCGCCGCCGCCGCCACCACCACCATTGTAGCCGCCACGTCTACCTCTGTCTCCTCCTCTATTTTCAGAACTTCTTCCACGTTCTCCTCCACCACCTCTATATTCCGCACCTCTTCCGCGTTGCATTCTAAAGATGTATTAAAACTTTAAAATGAAATTATGTTTTTAATTATTTTCACATGCATTTGTGCAAAAACAACTCCAAAATTTATTGGAATTTTAATTCTTCGTAAAGCAAAGCGGCTTCCACTTATTGCGTCGCCGATGGCAGCACATTTTGACAATTGTTCGACATTCTAAGTGCCAAGTGCTAAGAAAAAAAATGTGTATACACAACTGTACACACATACATATACACTTGTATATGCGAATATGGAATGAAGATTGCATATAAGTTGCATATTAGACCATTAAACAACAACAAAAACCATTAAATAAATTACCATTAAAGTGAATCATTCATTCCTACTACCAGTTGCTTCGAACTGTTGCTTTTTTATTCCTTTTTATTCTTTTTTGTGCCACTGTTCCTTACGTGGAAAAAAGGACAGACCACAAAGTTTACTATTAACCGAAACGACGCTCAGCAAAAACAACAAAAAAAATAGAACATGTTATAATGCACAATTAGCATTGCACAATTATTGGTTATTGCACAATTAGCAAAATATTAGCAAAATTTTAGGCAATAATTAATTTCATTTAAGAAATAATTTTCCAAATAGCACAATTCAGTTTTTAAAAATTCTGTTCATTTCACAATAATTGTAGAACCAAAAAAGACTTACATTTTTATTCACAAGTACCACTTAAACGAACTTAATTTGAACTTCTTTAAGCACTTAACCGCAAATGATAGATTGCGATATAGTTAATGTATATCTGCGCAAAAAAATTAATATTTATGATTTTAACTCGCCTTAACCAAATCTTCGAAATTGCCTGAAGTGATGATCTCTTCGCTTCAGTGTGAAAGAAAGCTATGACAGCATCGAATGATTAGCGTCGACTTAGTTAAAGATGGTAAACTATCGATACCAACAAACTGTTGTTTAAATTTATTCCGACAACTTTTTAGACGAGGACTTCATCTTTCAAGCAACTACCAAAGACGTATTATATTTTATTCCGAGCAGCGACTTGTCTT